CATGACAGTGACATTTAAAAAAAAAAAACCTTTCCATTTTCATTACAGACTTTATTTTAGACCTGGTGATGTCATCACTGAATCTCGGTGCTTCTCTATGCAATGCATGGATGGTGGGAGGGGCCGGCCGGGTGCTGTACATAGCTTCCTGAAAATATCACAGTACCCTGCCTCAGTACTCCCCCCATGAGCCCAGAGTGAAAGGGTGATGAGCTCATCCTTGTGCTGCTTCTCCTTTCACTGTCCAGTCACAGCCTGGAAAGTGTTTTTTGGTTTTTTTTTACCATTCACTTGTAAACTTTTATTTGTTTCATTCATTTTTATAGTGTCATATTCAGCAAAAAATAACCAAAACTTTTTTTTTTAAAAGCTTATAATTTATTTGTAAATAATGTTGTCCTGCTTTGTACCAGAAATTTAATTCTAGTGTCATTATAAACGGGACAAATCATAGAATGAAAGTCACAACAAAGATAGATAGATAGATAGATAGATAGATAGATAGATAGATAGATAGATAGATAGATAGATAGATGATAGATAGATAGATAGATAGATAGATAGATAGAGGGATAGATAGATAGATAGATAGATAGATAGATAGATAGATAGATAGATTATTTAAAAAAAAAAAACCTTTCCATTTTCATTACAGACTTTATTTTAGACCTGGTGATGTCATCACTGAATCTCGGTGCTTCTCTATGCAATGCATGGATGGTGGGAGGGGCCGGCCGGGTGCTGTACATAGCTTCCTGAAAATATCACAGTACCCTGCCTCAGTACTCCCCCCATGAGCCCAGAGTGAAAGGGTGATGAGCTCATCCTTGTGCTGCTTCTCCTTTCACTGTCCAGTCACAGCCTGGAAAGTGTTTTTTGGTTTTTTTTTACCATTCACTTGTAAACTTTTATTTGTTTCATTCATTTTTATAGTGTCATATTCAGCAAAAAATAACCAAAACTTTTTTTTTTAAAAGCTTATAATTTATTTGTAAATAATGTTGTCCTGCTTTGTACCAGAAATTTAATTCTAGTGTCATTATAAACGGGACAAATCATAGAATGAAAGTCATAACAAAGATAGATAGATAGATAGATAGATAGATAGATAGATAGATAGATAGATAGATAGATAGATAGATGATAGATAGATAGATAGATAGATAGATAGATAGAGGGATAGATAGATAGATAGATAGATAGATAGATAGATAGATAGATAGATAGATAGATAGATGGATGGATGGATAGATGATAGATAGATGGATAGATGATAGATAGATGGATAGATGATAGATAGATAGATAGATGGATGGATAGATGATAGATAGATAGATAGATAGATAGATAGATAGATAGATAGATAGATAGATAGATAGATGATAGATAGATAGATAGATAGATAGAAAATACAGGGCCCCATAGCAAAATGTTGTATGGGGCCCTGTGATTTCTAGTTACGTCCCTTGAAGAGCCCACCTGAGATCCCAAACAGCCCACCTGAGAGTGACTCTGCAGAGACTCTCTATGGTGGGCTCTGCAGGGTCTTAGGTGCGCTGGTCACACCCCTGCACACCTTCTCCTCCTCCACGGTTGCTGGCAGGCCCCGCCTCCTCCTCCGTCATCGGGCCCTGCCTCCTACTACGCTGCTGCCGACACTGGGCCCCACCTCCTCCTCCGCTGCCAATGCCGGGCCCAGCCTCCTCCTCCGCAGCTGCTGGCTGTCATTGACTCAGCAGCGGCTGTGAGGAGGAACGTGCAATGACAGGTTGTCAGTGATCTGGACAGCGGCGCGTTCCTCCTCACAGCCGCCAGTGACAGCCAGCAGCCTGAGATGCCATAGCGACCCAAGCAGCCCACACAGCATCAGGGGGACCCCTTTGTTCCTGGTCCTGGCCAGGCCCCCCTGTGCATGGGCCCCATAGCTGGGTCGCTCTGGCAATTGTTCGGCCACTGGATAGATAGATAGATAGACAGACAGACAGACAGACAGACAGATAGATAGCTTTGGTATGTTATGCACACACCTATCTACTTGTGCTATCCTCCTGTGATGAGAGGACCAAGAAACCACCCCGTGCTCCACAGCAACCATCTCCACTGGTGATCTTCTCCCATTCGCATCCCATGGTGACCTTCTTTGCCAGTTTGAATCCAATGGTGATCTCCTCCCTTTGGGATCCCATGGAGATCCTCTCCCATTTACATCCCATGGCGACCTTCTTTACTAATTTGGATTTAATTGTGATCTCCTCCCATTGGGAACCCATGGCGATCTCTTTCTCCCATTGGGATCCCATGGCGAACCTCTCCAATTGGGATCCCATGGCGATCTTCTTCTCCCATTGGGATCCCATGGCGAACTTCTTCTCCCATTGGGATCCCATGGTGATCTTCTTCTCCCATTGGGATCTCATGAAGATCTTCTTTGCCCATTTGGAACCCATGGTGATCTTCTTCGCCCATTGGTCTGCCACTGGGGGTGTAATACCTGCACATAAGCACAGATTCAGACCCCTCACCTATTCTATCCAAAACTGAAAATTAAAAGGAAACTGTGTCGGTAGGAGTTCTGCTTTAATCCAAATATATTTAAAAATTGTATTATACCAAAAAAGCATATTTTAATTGTATTTTCCTCTCTAACATCTAGAAATGATATAAGATCAGAAAATGATGCTTTAGTTAGAGCGTATCTGTAAAAAATAAGTCCAGGGAAGTGGACTGGATTGGACAGTCCTCCTCACTGTCCAGTTGCCTTGACTTATTTTTTACAGATACACCATGCCCTGTATGAAGGAGATATACCATGCCCTGTATGAAGGAGATATACCATGCCCTGTATGAAGGAGGAGATATACCATGCCTGGCCCCTGTATGAAGGAGATATACCATGCCTGGCACCTGTATGAAGGAGATATACCATGCCCTGTATGAAGGAGATATACCATGCCTGGCCCCTGTATGAAGGAGATATGTATGAAGGAGATATACCATGCCCTGTATGAAGGAGATATACCATGCCCTGTATGAAGGAGATATACCATGCCCTGTATGAAGGAGATATACCATGCCCTGTATGAAGGAGATATACCATGCCTGGCCCCTGTATGAAGGAGATATACCATGCCTGGCCCCTGTATGAAGGAGATATACCATGCCTGGCCCCTGTATGAAGGAGATATACCATGCCCTGTATGAAGGACATATACCATGCCCTGTATGAAGGAGATATACCATGCCCTGTATGAAGGAGAACCTTCACAGACATATCTAGTTAGAGTGATTACCAAGCCGCCTTGGTCACAATGTCTCATGGAACTTTCTTCGCTTCCCATTAGGAAGGGGAAGATTCTCCGGCAGTCGCCTTCTTCATAAAGGAGACAGAATGCCTCAAGTCTGAAGATACTGATTTGGGCCAATGTGGCTACAAGAAGGACGGGGTGAGGAACAAGTGTCATATGTATATTTTAAAGAATCAAACAATACTCAGTATTACATTGACTGTATTATTTCTAGCAGTGACCAGATCAATTGGAGATTGGAGGGAGCAAAGGTCAGATACCCTCCATCAACCTGATGATCTCAGCCTGCCCACCATGCTTATTGAAATAGTAAAAGGTCCCTTCAAAACTCCTATTAGCTCATTACCAAGTGGATTGCTTCATAGACCAGATTTATCCTAAATACAGAGCCATTTATCCCACTCTCCATTCAGAGGCCCCAGTTTTAAATTTGAGGATATTTTTGTGTAGAATACATATTAAATTATTTATGATGTTGCCAAATATTGTAGATAATAAATATCTTTTAGCCCTTCCAATAAGATGATGGCACAGTTTCTGGCAGAATGATTATAACATGGAGATGTGATGTGTTTGATTCTGCAGGAGGTGAAGGTCTGTGGATTGTACCCGGTGGAGGGGGAGACCTCAAAGACTCTGAAATGTGTCAGCCTGACCAAGGTAACGCCGACCACCAGTCAGAAATATTTGTATCCCCTCAGTCTCTCTCTCCTGACTGTCTCTCCTCGCTCTCTCCTGAATGTCTCTCCTCTCTCTCCTGGCTGTCTCTCCTCTCTCTCTATCCTGGCTGTCTCTCCTCTCTCTCCTGGCTGTCGCTCCTCTCTCTCTCCTGGCTGTCTCTCCTCTCTCTCTCTCCTGACTGTCTCTCCTCTCTCTCTCCTGACTGTCTCTCCTCTCTCTTCTGGCTGTCTCTCCTCTCTCTCTCTCCTGGCTGTAAGGCTGCTCCTCCGCAGAGTCAGTGGTCGTTGTTCCCCTAGGACAGGAAGTGTGGTACAGGAAGCTAACCATGCGAATATAAAGAAAGAGAAGGCTGAAGGTGAGCAGTGTTATGATAGAAAGGTGATCTATGAAGCTGGAACAATCAGGTTTCTTTTCCGGTGTTATTCCTATGAGGCCTCAGTCATGCTCGGCACGCACATGAATGAGCAACGCATTTTGCTGCATTTGTCACACATCATCGCAGGTTTCAACTCGGCATCCAGGCACAAGCAGCAGTTTGAGATCGGAGCTTTGCTAGTTTATTGACACATTGACAAGTACACCAGGATGTGGGTCTTGCTGCATATGGAGTATTATTACCGAACAATAACAAACAATGGCACCACAAGTGTGACTCACGTTTGTGAACGCACATAGAATTCTGCAATTTTGCAAGCTTTCACGTGTGCAGCAAGAGTGATTGGGGCCTCAGAGACAGTCAGAAATTGGGGAAAGTCATGAGCCAGGAAAGCCCATGCTATCGAATTTATTTCCTATACTCTACATAGGGTTGCCACCTGTCCAGGATTCACCCGGACAGTCCAGGTTTTGAATGCTGTGTTCGGGTTTCATGGCATCAGAAACCCGGACACAAGATGTCAGGCTGACAGGGGCAACCAAAATTAAGGTTGCCCCTGTCAGGAAAACAGTCTCAACTGTGATATTTACATATGAATGGGCGGCGCTATTTACATATGAATAAGCTACGACTTATTCTCCCCAAAAAATGTCTGCGCGTCGCCTGAGTGTTCAGGTTTCGTTGAAGAAAAGGTGGCAACCCTAGCTCTACAGCTCCATCTAGTGGCCATAATGTGGTATAATGTGGCTAACAACATTCGTTTTTGCCTCCATTCACAGAGAATCAATGTACACGCAGTTTCAAATTGGCTCTGTAGAATGTTTCTGAATACACATTGCTATAAATGTTTAAATCCAAAATTGTATAAATGTAGTAAAATGAAAAATAAAACATAGTTTTCTTAACCCCTTCCGGCCCATATAATCTATAGGACAATCCAACAGTGAGAGTGAGACGGGAGGTGGAACTGGGAACTCAGGAGCAGAAATATCTCTCCTAAAATATAATATATTAATATGTTGTACAGGACACCAGGAATGGGTCCTGGATGGACGGTATATCCCTCCCTTGTTTAGGTGGGTGGTCCCGTTAAAGTCACCTTGTATTCAGAGCCCCCATCCCTGTCTACAGCCAGTTCTGGTAATGAAAGGGTTAAACCACCAGCCAGAGGGTGTGTTAAAAAGGAACAGGAAGCCAGTCAGTCTGGCTGTGAGGAGTGTTTGGAACAGGACACATGGCTATGTGGGTTAAGCTGTGGAATACAGTCTACCGAGACACTGCTGGGGCACCTGCGTCCATACTGGAACCCTCTGTGCGCAGGCTGGGACTCCAACCCTGAGGTGGGACTCAGTATACAGGCGCTGAGCCGAAGTCTTGTGTTTGCTGAATATAAGCCATTTACTTTGACTGTTTGTGGAAATGAATAAAAGTTTATTGTCTGATACGGCTGGCTACTGGTCATATCCGCCCTGAATATTACAATGTATTAAAAAAAGATATTGTACAGGACGCCAGGAATGGGTCCAGGATGGACGGTATATCCCTCCCCTTGTTTAGGTGGGTGGTCCCGTTGAGGTCGCCTTGTATTCAGGGTTCTCGCCAAGCAGGGTGAGGGGTTACGGGTCGGACTTGTAAGGGAAACTGCTAGGCAGTCTTCCCAGAGTTGTTAAATATACATGGGGTCCCGGAATCCGGAGGCTCAGAGAGATTTTTGGGTGGGACAGAACCTCCATCCCCCGACTACAGCCAGTTCTGGTAATGAAAGGGTTAACCCACCAGCCAGAGGGTGTGTTAAAAGGGAACAGGAAGCCAGTCAGTCTGTGTCTGTGAGGAGTGTTTGGAGCAGGACACATGGCTGTGTGGGTTAAGCTGTGGAATACAGTCTACCGAGACACTGCTGGGGCACCTGCGTCCATATTGGAACCCTTTGTGAGCAGGCTGGGACTCCAACCCTGAGGATGGGACTAAGCATATAGGCGCTGAGCCGAATCTCGTATTTGCTGAATATAAGCCATTTTATTTGATTGTTTGTGGATAAGAATAAAAGTTTATTTGCTGATACGGCCGGCTACGGTCCCTGGCTGTCTCTCCTCTCTCTCCCCTGGCTGTCTCTCCTCTCTCTCCCCTGGCTGTCTCTCCTCTCTCTCCCCTGGCTGTCTCTCCTCTCTCTCTCCTGGCTGTCTCTCCTCACTCTCTCCTGGCTGTCTCTCCTCTCTCTGTATATTCTCCAAAAAAGATTGCTGTACAGCATTGGAGTGTTTGGATTTCACTTGAAGAAAAGGTGGCAGCCCTATATGATGATGTGGACAGGGGGAGGTGTTCTGTAGCCCTAACACACTTCCTGTCCTAGGATGACAAGGCTGCTCCTCCGCAGAGTCAGTGGTCGTTGTTCCCCTAGGACAGGAAGTGTGGTACAGGAAGCTAACCATGCGAATATAAAGAAAGAGAAGGCTGAAGGTGAGCAGTGTTATGATAGAAAGGTGATCTATGAAGCTGGAACAATCAGGTTTCTTTTCCGGTGTTATTCCTATGAGGCCTCAGTCATGCTCGGCACGCACATGAATGAGCAACGCATTTTGCTGCATTTGTCACACATCATCGCAGGTTTCAACTCGGCATCCAGGCACAAGCAGCAGTTTGAGATCGGAGCTTTGCTAGTTTATTGACACATTGACAAGTACACCAGGATGTGGGTCTTGCTGCATATGGAGTATTATTACCGAACAATAACAAACAATGGCACCACAAGTGTGACTCACGTTTGTGAACGCACATAGAATTCTGCAATTTTGCAAGCTTTCACGTGTGCAGCAAGAGTGATTGGGGCCTCAGAGACAGTCAGAAATTGGGGAAAGTCATGAGCCAGGAAAGCCCATGCTATCGAATTTATTTCCTATACTCTACATAGGGTTGCCACCTGTCCAGGATTCACCCGGACAGTCCAGGTTTTGAATGCTGTGTTCGGGTTTCATGGCATCAGAAACCCGGACACAAGATGTCAGGCTGACAGGGGCAACCAAAATTAAGGTTGCCCCTGTCAGGAAAACAGTCTCAACTGTGATATTTACATATGAATGGGCGGCGCTATTTACATATGAATAAGCTACGACTTATTCTCCCCAAAAAATGTCTGCGCGTCGCCTGAGTGTTCAGGTTTCGTTGAAGAAAAGGTGGCAACCCTAGCTCTACAGCTCCATCTAGTGGCCATAATGTGGTATAATGTGGCTAACAACATTCGTTTTTGCCTCCATTCACAGAGAATCAATGTACACGCAGTTTCAAATTGGCTCTGTAGAATGTTTCTGAATACACATTGCTATAAATGTTTAAATCCAAAATTGTATAAATGTAGTAAAATGAAAAATAAAACATAGTTTTCTTAACCCCTTCCGGCCCATATAATCTATAGGACAATCCAACAGTGAGAGTGAGACGGGAGGTGGAACTGGGAACTCAGGAGCAGAAATATCTCTCCTAAAATATAATATATTAATATGTTGTACAGGACACCAGGAATGGGTCCTGGATGGACGGTATATCCCTCCCTTGTTTAGGTGGGTGGTCCCGTTAAAGTCACCTTGTATTCAGAGCCCCCATCCCTGTCTACAGCCAGTTCTGGTAATGAAAGGGTTAAACCACCAGCCAGAGGGTGTGTTAAAAAGGAACAGGAAGCCAGTCAGTCTGGCTGTGAGGAGTGTTTGGAACAGGACACATGGCTATGTGGGTTAAGCTGTGGAATACAGTCTACCGAGACACTGCTGGGGCACCTGCGTCCATACTGGAACCCTCTGTGCGCAGGCTGGGACTCCAACCCTGAGGTGGGACTCAGTATACAGGCGCTGAGCCGAAGTCTTGTGTTTGCTGAATATAAGCCATTTACTTTGACTGTTTGTGGAAATGAATAAAAGTTTATTGTCTGATACGGCTGGCTACTGGTCATATCCGCCCTGAATATTACAATGTATTAAAAAAAGATATTGTACAGGACGCCAGGAATGGGTCCAGGATGGACGGTATATCCCTCCCCTTGTTTAGGTGGGTGGTCCCGTTGAGGTCGCCTTGTATTCAGGGTTCTCGCCAAGCAGGGTGAGGGGTTACGGGTCGGACTTGTAAGGGAAACTGCTAGGCAGTCTTCCCAGAGTTGTTAAATATACATGGGGTCCCGGAATCCGGAGGCTCAGAGAGATTTTTGGGTGGGACAGAACCTCCATCCCCCGACTACAGCCAGTTCTGGTAATGAAAGGGTTAACCCACCAGCCAGAGGGTGTGTTAAAAGGGAACAGGAAGCCAGTCAGTCTGTGTCTGTGAGGAGTGTTTGGAGCAGGACACATGGCTGTGTGGGTTAAGCTGTGGAATACAGTCTACCGAGACACTGCTGGGGCACCTGCGTCCATATTGGAACCCTTTGTGAGCAGGCTGGGACTCCAACCCTGAGGATGGGACTAAGCATATAGGCGCTGAGCCGAATCTCGTATTTGCTGAATATAAGCCATTTTATTTGATTGTTTGTGGATAAGAATAAAAGTTTATTTGCTGATACGGCCGGCTACGGGTCATATCCGCCCTGAATATTACAATATATATAGAAAGATAGAAAGATAGATGTATTGATATAGACATATGATAGATATAAGAGGTCAGCGAGTGATTCCTGGTTTAAGTTTACAGTAAACTAATCCTTAAGAGTCCACTAAACCAATCGCCGAGTCCTGGTTCACACTGAGCGTTTTGTAGCGTTTTCTTTGCCCTAAAAACTGCTCCAAAAATCTGCCCCCCAAAAATCACATTCATTTCTATGGTCCTGTTCACATCGGAGCGTTTTGTCGCAGTAAGCAAAACGCCCGTCACTGGAAAAAGTACAGGATATTTTTTTTGGCCCCATAGACTGAATAGGAAACGCTTGAAAACGCCCGTTTGCTGTGTTTTCGCACGTTTTCATTAAGATCAATGAGCTAAAACTTGCTTGCAAAAACGCGCATCACGAACATGCGTTAAAATGCGTAAAAACGCAGTTGCCTAGCTGTGAACGAGGCCAGAATGTTGTATTTGTTATAAATAAAGATACACTGTGACAATTTTTCTTTATTCCCATTTTGTAGAATTCACGTGTTAAACGGGCGAATAGAAGACCGCCCTGCAGAGGAAAATGTTGTCAAAGTGGATCATGTACCGTAATTGGTGGCCTGCCAAAGATAGAAGAAATGCGTTATCTAGCTTCATCACGGTCTAAAAATGCCTCATAAGAAAATGGATAAGAGGTGCCGGAACCCTGAAGATTCTTTATACGTTTACTTTGTATCATCGTTGTCACCCCATATTACAGTATTAGTGACAATACAGAGAATCTGAATAACTGGGCTGGTAATTTCTAAGTCTAAAGACACGTTTATTCCAATGATAACTCCAACGCGTTTCAGGGGTTGTAACTCCGCCCCCTTCATCAGGAAAACATAAAACAATGAAACAATGTATGCGGACTCAATAATTACTCTATAGTTGGATGTTATTGAGAGTTTACTCCGCAATATATCAGCAGCCGGCTCAAGCAGCCCTCATGAAGGGGGCGGAGTTACAGCCCCCCGAAAATTATTGGCTTTGAAAACAATTTATCATTGGAATAACTTTGTATTTGGACTTGAGAATGACGATGTTTTGCTTTAATTCTATTCTACAAATGCCCCATTTCTCTGATCACGGCGCCGAGCAAGAGCCCCGCTTACAGCCAAACTACCCTGACATGGTCACTCCAATGTGCACAGCCTTGCTCAGGTGTACTGTATATCTATATTGCGCTTTCATTGTCTTGTATCATTCTTATATTCTGTTACAATGCGGCCAAACATTCTCAGCTCTGTATAAAACGATGGGAATAAAATGATCAGCTCAGGCTGCGATCTGTGTACTGTGATCATTTCTGTGATGTCACTTTGTCTGCGGAGATGAATTGGAAACATTTAAAGGACAAAGAGAGACCGAATTCTTCTGTTACACCAGGGGCGTTGGTAGGATTGTGGAAGACCGGGAGCACTGCAAGAAGAGAAATGGGGCCGCACATGTAGTGCACCGCATTGAATGGTGGGTGTGGCCAAACTGCATTGGCGGTGAGGGGAGGCTTAAAGGGGCATAGTTGAAGAAGAACTTCAGACCATTTTTAAAAAAATTAACCCTTGCAGCGGGCACTGCGCAGCTCCAGGTTCACAAACCAGGTTTCGTCTGGACAAGGAAGTGCTCAGTGATGGCGAGGGACATTGCAGATGTGTGTTCTCTGCCTCTGCCAGTCTCCTTGCACTGATTTTATATAGTGCTGGACCGGCCAGAGACAAAGTCAGGGCACACATGCTGGGTCAGACTCTGTATCTGAGGCCCACCACAGGAAATGGGAATGGGGGTCCGCCTTACACCAGAGTGGATTACTGTGAGTGGGGTGCAAAACAATGTCTATTTCTAGGGACATGGCTTGATGGTGATAGGCCCACACATTATACAATGACTACATAGTACATATTATATCAGCATGCAGAGCTGCACCCCGATGTGATTTATAGAGAAAGGGGGTATAAATTATGTTATTTTGGAACACTTTATCAGCTCGGCCTGTGACCCATAAGCCGAGGATCACTTTGTCTACACCTCACACCACGAGACATTCCAGAAGGGAGCAACAACTTGTTCTGAAAACATTATTCTGCAAAATCATTCCAGCAAGAGAACCTGTTATGTGCAGAACCTAAAACTAGCATACAAGCACCCGACATTCTCATTCTTTAAATTCCTGTCTGATCTCCCGGCCGCCCCCCTGGAGGTACAGTATGGATGTTTTATACTGAAAAACTCTTTGTAGGAAATAAATGCAACTGATGAACATGCAAACAAAAGGAAATTACATTTTCACATGAAAGTTTAGAGCAGCGGTCGCCAACCTTCTGACCCTCACGGACCACTAAATTCATCATTTTAAATCCTGCGGACCACTAATATGAATTAAAAAAAATACATATATATTCTCATATTTTTTTGTTTCCTCATATATAAATATATTCTCGTGTGTGTGTGTAATATACACTGAGTGGCCAGTTTATTATGACCACCTGACGTTTGTAGGCAAATTAGGTATAATTAGCTATAATTTGGCGCTGAAGTTGCTAGAGGGCCAGACCATTATAAATAGGGAAGCGGGTTGGTTACCACAACAGTAGAAGTGATTTGTTTCTGAAGATTCGGGGAAACAACGCGATGTAACAGCCTTGGAACGCGGGATGATTGTTGGCGCTCGGAGCCATGGAACGAGTATCAGCAAAACAGCAGAATTCGTTAAATGTTCAAGAGGGGCTCATTGTTAAAGTGTTTAAAGTCCGGACTGTCAGCCGAAAATCTGGGTCTGAACGTGTGAATTGTGGCCGTCAGCGACTAGTCAATGTTAGGGCAGAACGGGGGAGGGGCAAGACTGGTACAAGACAACAGAAGGGCAACAGTGCCGTGTCAGATTCCTCGCATCACCTTTCATCATCTCGTGGAGTCACCAGGCGGCCCAACGAAGTACTGATGGGGGGTCATAATAATCTGGCCACTCAGTGTATATATAAACACACACACACCCATATGTAAATATATATATATATACATACATAGGTGCGGGTGTGCCTGCAGGAGTTGCACTGCTGGTGGAGGGAGGGAGCGGTGCCGCCCGCCCCGGCCCAGTAATAATATTAATTGTTCTCCCACCTATCGAATCTGCCACTGGCCCTGCTGGCGGCGCCCGGGGCACATCCCCCCCTAGCTTCAGCACTGCCCTGAACCACCCCGTTGCCTCCCCTTCCCCCACACTGAGCCACTATTATTACCTGGCTTCTCCCCACTTTTTCTATGTCCCGCAGCCTGCTCAGTCCGGGTACTGAAGAGATGCCTCCGCCTCCTGCAGAGCCCGCATTGCACTGAGAGCCGCGCATTCCTTGTGACAGCTGCTGCTCGAGTCAGTGAGAGGCAGCCCCGGAGCCTCCATGGCGCTTAAAGGACGGTCCAGCCTGCACGGCATCAGAGGGGCCCGGAGACCACCAAAATTTTCTCGCGGACCACCGGTTGGTGATCGCTGGTTTAGAAGGTTGAGAAACATTTCCCGGCAATGTCACAGCTGATCTGTATAGTAGAATACTGTGTATAGTACAGAGAAGGAATCTTATTATTTGGAATATTTAATATTCTTTTCCTTTAAAAAAAAAACGTATGTCCGCTACAAATCATACAATGTTACATTTTTGTATTCATTTACCAAATATATATCACATGTAACTATGACAGAATTGTGTTTTCCATGTCATATGATACACAATGGGTTACAGCTTGTTAGTGACGTAGAGAAGATCGCTGGACATATTGTATATTATTATAGATCAGAATATATTATCTTATCCATATAGGAGGAAAACAATCCGACAATCGCGTTCTTAATAAAGGAGACGGAATGCCTGAAATCTGAAGATATCAACTTGGAGGAATGTGACTACAAGAAGGACGGGGTGAGGACATACAGCAACGTAGACATTTTATAGGATAACTCCGGCCACTACTTATGTTTGGTTTGTTTTTAATACAATAGGGAAGAGTTTCATTGTTGGTGTCCCTCCAGAGCCGCCATTTATAGACCCGATACATCCTAAATATAGAGCCATTTATCCCACTGTCCATCCAGAGCCTCCGGTTTTAAATTTGAGGATATTTTTGTGTAGAATACATATTAAATTATTTATGATGTTGCCAAATACTGTAGATAATAAACATCTTTTAGTCCTTCCAATAAGATGATGGCACAGTTTGTGGCAGAATGATTATTACATGGAGATGTGATGTGTTTGATTCTGCAGGAGGTGAAGGTCTGTGGATTGTACCCGGTGGAGGGGGAGACCTCAAAGACTCTGAAATGTGTCAGCCTGACCAAGGTAACGCCGACCACCAGTCAGGATTATTGTATCTCCTCTCTCTCCCCTGGCTGTCTCTATTTTCTCTCTCTCTCCTGGCTGTCCCTCCTTCCTCTCTCTCCTGGCTGTCCCTCCTTCCTCTCTCTCCTGGCAGGCTCTCCTCTCTCTTTCTCTCTCCTGGCTGTCTCTCCTCACTCTGTATATTCTGCAAAAAAAGATTGCCGTACAGCATTAGAGTGTTTGGATTTCACTTGAAGAAAAGGTGGCAGCCGTATATGATGATGTGGACAGGGGGAGGTGTTCTGTAGCCCTAACACACTTCCTGTCCTAGGATGACAAGGCTGCTCCTCCGCAGAGTCAGTGGTCGTTGTTCCCCTAGGACAGGAAGTGTGGTACAGGAAGCTAACCATGCGAATATAAAGAAAGAGAAGGCTGAAGGTGAGCAGTGTTATGACAGACAGGTGATAGATGAAGCTGGAATAATCACGTTTCTATTCAGGTGTTATTATTATTATTACATAGTATTTATATGGCGCCAACAGTTTGCACAGCGCTTTACAATATAAGGAAGACATTACAGTTACAATACAATACAAGACAAGATGGTAAGGAGGGCCCTGCCCCTGAGGGCTTACAATCTAAAAGAGGAGGGGGAAATGATACATGAGGTAGCTGTGGTAGCTGTGAGGCCTCAGTCACGCTCGCCACGCACATGAATGAGCAACGTATTTTGCTGCATTTGTCACACATCATCGCAGGTTTCAACTCGGCATCCAGGCACAAGCAGCAGTTTGAGATCGGAGCTTTGCACGTTTATTGACCACATGATGCACATTGCCAAGTACACCAGGATGTGGGTCTTGCTTGCTGCATATGGAGTATTATTACCAAATAATAACAAACAATGACACCAGAAGTGTGACTCACATGTTTGTGAACGCACACAGAATTCTGCAATTTTGCAAGCATTCACGTGTGCAGCAAGTGTGATTGGGGCCTCAGAGACAGTCTGAAATTGGGAAAGCCATGAGCCACGAAAGCCCATGCTATCGAATTTACTTCCTATGCTCTACAGCTCTATCTAGTGGCCATAATGTGGTGTAATGTGGCTAACAACATTCGTTTTTGCCTCCATTCACAGAGAATCAATGTACACGCAGTTTCAAATTGGCTCTGCAAAATGTTTCTGAATACACATTGCTATAAATCTTTAAACCAAAATT